CTAGGTGTACCGCCTTCCTGGCTCCAGGGCCTGAATATGGAGCATGCCATTTAGCCTTTATCGGCTTCTAACTTCCTGTAGGGGGCCCCCGAGGCATGGAAAGGAGCAATCCCCTGTATGACTACTGGCTACCTAACAAGGTCTGTGCAGCAGATTTGCTAGTGCAATATGCCTTTTGATCTCTTGACTGCTACTTCCATGAGCATTGGTTGTGGATCCAAGGAAGACAACATCCTTGACAACTTCAATCATTTCTCCACCTAACGATATCACCTATTGGTCCAGTTGTGAGGAGCTGAGTCTTCCTTACAAGGAGTAGTAATCCATAATGAAGGCTACAATCCTTTGTCTTCATCAGCAAGTGCTTCAAGCTCTCCTTGCTTTTAGTAAGCAAGGTTGTGTCCTCTGCATACTGCAGGTTGTTGATAAACCTTCGTCTGATCCTGATGCCACACTTTTCTTCATACAACCATGCTACACACATTTCCTGCTTTTAAACTCGGCAGTGTTCCCTTGTTCTGTTTGTACATCCTCGTCTTGATCCACGTACAAGTTGCTCCTGAGCACGATGAACGTTCTGGAATTCCTATTCTTCTCAAGGTTACACACAGCATCAGTAAAACACAAGTAAACACCTTTCTGAGATGCTCTGCTTGGGGCCTCTCCAGCAGGGAGAGAGGGCGGGGAGGGACACCTTTAGATTCCACTTTAGTAGAGGGTGTGATTTACAACACAATCTTTGTTTCCCTGGGGATACGGTCTGCTAAAAGACAAAAACCACACCTCCATCAAAACCATTCCTCTGTTTCCCTACTGAGTTTTGGTACTAGCAAGAAGACCTGCTGTTATTTTGGGACATTTTTGGCTTCTGGTTCTGGCCCCTGCATCTGGCTTGCCTCTGCCTGACCTTCAGATTTGGGTTTTAACAGAATCCATAACTGAGACATTTCCTTAAAGTCTAGCGAGATTCTGTGGGTTGTTGCATTGAAATGCAGAACCCAGGAATATAAGGGAGAGAGGGCTGGGGGAAATGGAGCACTTGAGTGTGCAAATAGAAGCATTCTCCTTAGGGATTTTGATGGGCGATTTTAGGGGAATAGATTGCCAGGCCTTTCTTCAAAGGCAGCAGGGCTTGACTTGAAACTCCAACCTGTTGGTTAACAGCTCAGTGAGTAAAACATTTGCACCACCCGGAGAGTCCTATAAATATATTAACAAGGGGTAAAATAAAGTAAAGGATGCACTGTTAGGATAAGAAGCTTTCTGATTCTCACTTCATATTATCAAGAGATTAAAAATGGCCTGGTGAGAACCAAGTTTGCAAACATCACCAGTAACTTCCACATTACCAAATCCAGTGGACTCTTTAGCCGTCGTACTTTGACCTTTGTGCAGTATCCAGCACCATTGCCAACTTTCTTGCAATTCTTCTGTGTGTGTGTGTGTGTATAAGAAAGAGATTTATACACAAGAGGAATTGAACATTGAGAAAACACACCAACCCAGTCTAGTCCAAGGCCATAAGTCTGATATTAGCCCATATGCCCGATACCAATCTATAAAGACCTCTGCAGACTCACAAAACACATGCAATGAAGCCAATTGCAGGACGATCACATGCCAGGGGGTAGAAAGTCTTTGGGCTCAGTGGCGTTGTAAGCATCTCAGTGTTGGCAGGGGTCTCTCTGTGGCTTCTCCTGTTTCCGAGGTCTGGTTGCATCCATGTGGCTTGTCTTCTTCAATGTCTCCCAGGGAGTGACAGAGAGAGAGAAGTGTCTTCCGCCTCCAAGGAGGAAGTACCAGATCCCCCAGAATTCTCAGGAGAAGGCCATGCCCATGGAAGTCTCTTTGGCTATCTCCAGATTGACAGCCTAGACTCCACTCCTACTCTTCATCCTTAAATTTTCTTGCAATTCTTGTCTTCTATTCTCTTCCTTGACATGGCCATCTCCTAGTTTTCCTTAAGCCACGCTGGTTACTCTCTTCTGAAGCCCGGGCATCTTTGATGAGCTTCGCTGATCAGTTACCACATCCACCGGAAGTGATACAGGCATCTTCATTAGTGCTGTTCCCCTTCACCCCCCTATGAACCCCCCAAACCTATCAATTTTATAGATACTTTCTTCTTTCTAAAGATGTCCTGGTGGTGCCATAAGGTAAACATTGGGCTGCTAACTGCAAGGTTGGTCATTCAAACCCATAGCCATGCTGCTGGAAAAAGATGAGGTTGTGCACTCCTATCAAAAATCCTACAGTTGTTCAAACCACATGATAACATATACATGATATATGAATTATATGTCAATAAAACTGTTTTTAACAAAGAAAAAAATGCCCTGGTGATTGACAACTCTTAGCACAGAGTCATTTAGTATCACTTTTGTTTTCTAAATAAAAGTCAGTATGCTGGCTTGGTTAGTTATTTTTTTGGAGTGTGAGGGTATCCTAAAATGAGGTATTTAGTAGAATTGGAAATGAGTGACCTGGGTCTGCCTTTTTTCTTTTCTTTCTTTCTTTTTTTTTTAGTTAAATTTTAATTTTCTAAAAGTTAAAGTTTAGCTTGTCCTCTTTTCTGCCTTCCTAATGCTAGGTAGACATATTTGGGGTAAAGGGAGTGTGGGAAAAGGGAGGAATATCTAGCACAGTGAGAGGTCAGGCACATTGCTTTTATTATTATTATTAGATCATTTCCCCCTTAAAAATAATTTTATTGGGAGCTCTAACAGATATTATAACATTCCATAGTTCAAACACATTAAGCAATGTTCTACAATTGCTACCACAACCAGTTTCAAAACATTTTCTTTCTTCTTAAACTTTTTGATATAAGCTCCCCTTTATCCTATCCCTCCCCCACCACACGCCCAGGAACCTGTAGCCATTGTTTTTTCTATAATTTTTTCATATCTTACACATTCAATATATCCATTCACATACAATTCCGTTGTTCATCCCATCGAGTGGGGTCATAGTCATCAATGCTATCATTGATGACTCCCTCTTCCCCTCTTCCCATACCCACAGGGATCCATTACTGCTATTACTGTTTCTGAAGGGTTACCTATCTTGACTTTCATGTACTGAACAATCATCGTAAATATACAAAGCAGCATTTCCTTTATCAACAGCCTCTGCACAGAGGAAATTGGAGGACGGAGAAGATACATTTCCTTAGTTTCAAGAAGAGGATAAAGTGAAAGGGTGTTTGTAGGCAGAGAAAGGCGGAGAGTCAAACACAATGATTGACTTGACCCTTGGTTTGGGGCCTGGCAGCAAAGTCACAGCATAAACCCCTATAAGAGGGAGGTACGCTACAGAAACGCCAACAGCCGAATGTGGGATGAAAACTTGACCTTCCATCCCATGAGGCACTCAGACTTAGCTCAGGTGGCCCTGAGCTTCCAGGCGGAAATCACAACTTCTGTTCAAACCTTTTTCCTATCTTTCATCTACATTCTTTTGTAGGAGTGGGACAAGAACTGAAAGATGTGGGGCCTGAAACCTCAGCGCTCGCTCCTAGTAACGCTAAGAGCAGAATTTATGACTTGGAGCCAGTGTAATTGTTGTAAAGTGTCTTAGCCAACCTCAGCAAACAATGGAGAAGGCAAGGACGCTGTTTGTGAAGTATTGTGGTCCTGGGAGAGTGCTTGAGCAGCACATCCTGGTCCGGAGAACAATGTATGTATATGTGTATGTATGTATGTATATATATATATACATATATATATATGAAAGGGGAATTCTTTGCTGGGTTGGTTCCAGGTGATCTTAGAGGGTGGCTTAGCCCACATGGCAACAGTTTAACTTGCAATTGTCTTGTAGCCATACGTAGTAGGTCTCTAGGGCTGTGGTCATTTTTCTATAAAAGACATCTCTCTCTCAGCATGTCACTCCGTGGACTCTGTGTCTCCTGTGCTGGAGCAGTATTTATTCCTCTCTTTAACTGCTAACAGAGTATTGGAATACGCTACTATGACAATGGCTAGTTTAAAAAGGAATTTAAGGAAGATCTATGCAATTTAATAATTGCTAAGATTAAGGGCGTTTTTATTGGGTGCTATGAATAGATTCCTTCACATTTGTAAACTCATGTCATCTGGGCATGACACACACAATTCCTGGTGAAGATGGTCATTATTTCTCTGATATGTAGTTTATATGCAAACTGCTAAAAGGGAGGAGAAAAAAATGAGGAGCTGATGCCAGGGGCTTAGGTGGAGAGCAAATGTTTTGAGAATGATGAGGGCAATAAATGTACAAATGTGCTTTACACAATTGATGTATATATGGATTAATAAAACGATTAAAAATAGTAAAAATAATAAAAAAGCAAACGGCTATAAGGAAGCCAAAGTACTCCCAAGCCACTTTGCTGCTGGGTCTTCGGGCTTACCTTCCATTTGACGACGGGGTCAAGTGGCGGCTAAGACACCCTCTCATCCAGCCCGCTCCGCTGGTCCGTCTTGCCTAGCTGCCCTGCCAGTCTTCCGACCGCGTCAGCGACACCTCGTCGCCCTGGCAACGCATCGCCGCCGTGCGCGTCGC